AGTGCAAGAAGCAAGTGTCCATCTCATAGTCCAAATCACTGAAATCAAAGTTCAGTATTATAGTGTAAGAATGACAACATATCCACATGTTCTAGTCTACTAATAATAAAATTATAATAAAAACACATTTTTAAAGGAGTATTTACCAGAAATGTTATTTACCAGAATTTGTTTAGGAGAAAAATGTAAATGTGCAGTATTTCTGAAAAAAAAGAAAAACGTTTTATTTTTTATAAAATAAATGAATTGGAGATGCTTTTGATTATTAAAATTTAATGGAAACATTAAAATGGAATCCAGAAAATAATAGAAAACAGAATTTGGTAAAGATAAAACTGTAAAACTAAATTAATTAGACAGGCTTTTTGATTAATAAAATTTAATTTAACCATTAAAACAGAGTATAGAAAAATGAAAATGGAACCAAACTGAATTTGGAAATAAAACTGATTTCATAGGGCCCTATAATTATAAAAAAAATTGTGGTAATAAAAATAAATGCAAGTGAACAATAGCCTTTAATATGACTTAAAATACATATATAATAGCAATGAGGCAATAATAATTAGTTCAAATAAAGTATCAAAAGCAAGAAATCATATGGTTTTATTGAACAAAACTGTTAAAATACATAATGTATTATAAACAATAGAGCTAATGTACATTATGCATTACAACAAAGGCCTACAGAGGGTGCCAACGACCTGATGATTATTTTTACACATTGCTGTGCGATCTAATACTTGTTTAATATTGACCAAGCACCATTTAATTCAAATGTCCACTTAATATTTGGCCATTTCTTTAGGCCAGAAATGCTATAGCCACTGTAATTAAAAAAATATGTGGACATCAAAACGTGTAAACTCAGAGTGAGGGTTTGAGCTTTTATTTTTAAGCGCGATGTATTCTCCTGAGTTTGCGCAGATTTATAAATTATTTAACGTTGTAATAAACCCGAACTCACAACAACATGCAGAGATGGAGTTTGAGACGCTCCACACATGTAAATGATAACAGTTCCTGTGGAATTACTGTGAACGGAGCCGCTGTGTGACACATGTACTTAACCTACACGCATGTAAATAATTAAAGCGCATATACTGTATTAGAACGGCATTGCATATAATTAATTAAATCGTAACGTTTGTGATAAACAATTATGCTTAATCATGATTTTTAAATGGGTTTAATATATCATGCAGCCTTGGGAAACAGTCTAATAATGTGTTTTATGGATTCTCGTCCGTGAAATACGCCACTTCCGATATTTTGGCGGTTAGTCGACGCAAGCAAAATGAAGTCGAGGATTTAAAAAAATCGAATAGTCGAATAAAATCGACAAATCGCGACAGCCCGAGTAATAATATAGAATACAGGGAAATTTATAAGCATTTTTTTTAGTACTATGGTAGGTCTGGACCACAGGTGTAACAAGGTGGGGAACAATCCCAAAAAGTAAAAAAAAATATGATTCTTTTGGGGAATTGTTATATCTTGTGTGAGCAAAGTCAGTAAGTTTTAGTGCAATGTGATAACTAGCATTTAAAGAAAAATCATCTGTGGGTCTAAATGAGAGAACGCAACACGAGGGGAATCCTGTTGTTTTGCCCTACTTAAGATGTAGGTCTCATTTCCAGGTCTGTAATATAAAATACTAGATATGTTATTTGTTTTTTTTAACCCATTTGAACTTGACATTGCTTTTTCTCTCTTGGGGTGAAAGGTCAGGGAATGGCCATGAACAGGAACCCAATGGGTGGAAATACCACAACAGCAGGAGCTGCCAGCTTGGCTTCAAGTGAGGTACAGATTTCTCAACACATTGACAACTTTCAGTTCAACATGCAAAGTGTACAGTATGTAAGCTTCTGTCTTTCTCTCTTTCAGCAGGGGCCTGCTGGTAATCCAGGTGGTCTCCCTCTTCCCTTCCCTCGTCCTGGACCTCCTGTTGACTTTGGCCCCAACAAACGCCGCAGATTCTGAGACCACCAGCCAAACATCTTTCTTTGTTTTTTGTTTTTTTTACATGCTGTATGATATTTTTAAGTGCAGACTGTGGTTTTGTAGGACCTGTGTATGCATTTCACATTCACAAATGAATTTGTGTAGGCAAATGTTTTAAACAGGTTGAAGTGTCAGTTTTAAGTTACTCTGTAAGATCTCCCATCTCCAGCAGGAGCCTTAAGGGACTGTTTCCAGAAACTAATTGAGCCCAGTGTTGGGATAAAGGAACCCTTATGCTTATGACTTCTTACTGAAGATTCTTCATCTATGTATGAGGGTTTATCTGTGCATGGAAACGGCTCCAGGCTGAACATTCAGCTTTGTATAGCCATATAATTTTTCCTTTTTATTAATTTCTTCTCTTTTGTATTTCACCCAGCAGTGACCTTTTCTAAAGTAGAGATTAGCTTTTGTCCATCTTGTGCTCTGCAACGCTTGCCTTTCTAGACAACTTTAAATAAATTCATAACTACATGTTACATACAGTCCAGTGTTGCTGGCAGCATTTATGATTTAAATTTTGTGATTTGTCTTCGTACAGCTGCTACAAAGAAGAAAAAAGTAATCGCAGCTTTAAATTTTAAAATGAAATTGTCAATTTCCTCAGTCACCATTCAATTCAATCACTAGGTATGGAAAGCATAATAAAAGTAGTCCATATACCCCTTATATAAAACAGCTTAGTGGCATATTAGAAGTGATAATGTCAATATATAATGTAAGATTTTTGAGTTATAGGATTTCTTTTTATACAGTTATAATTATTCAACATTGCTGTTTTAAGTTAATTTATTTGGATGGTAGGGTATAAAGTTGTTAAAACAATTAAGCTTTTAGAAACTATAAACCCTGGATGTATGTTACACATACATACATTTAGCACATGCATGTGCTAAAGATGAGTAGTAAATATGGCCAACTCGAAATTAGACATTTGAAAGTCTATGGCTACACGAAGATTTCCAAGAGTCTAAAAATTCCTAGAGACAGCCTTAAAAGTTTCAAATGTGTTGTATCAGAAAACCTTTGAGGGCTGAGAAGAAAAAGAAATGTATAGAATAAATAGTTTGATTAGAGTAACTGAGAAAAACCTTTGATTTACTGCCAAGACTTGCAGGATGACCCGATGAAAGGAGTTCTGGAGGATTGTTTTATGGAGGCATGTGACCAAACTGGACATTTTTGCATCCATGGATCAGCGGCATGTCTGGTGCAAAAAAGGCAAGGCTTATGAGCATAAAAATACTGTCACAACGGTCAAACATGGAGGTGGGCCAGTCCTGTTATGGGGTTGCTTTGCTTTTATAGGAAGTGAAATCTTGACTATATGAAGGACATGGATTCTTTGAAGTATCAGTATAATTTTGTCAAAGATTGTGATGAATAGACTTGAAGCTTGGTACAGGGATCGGTCGTAGAATGTTCTTGACTGGCCTGCTCAGTCTCCAGATTTAAATCTCATTTAAAATATTTGGTGTGATTTGAAGAAAGCAGTGGTAACATGAAAACTAAATATTATCAGTGATCTGGAAGCTTTCTTAAATGAGGAATGGGTCAAGATACCAGTAGAGAGGTGTCAGGAACTTGTAAGCACTTAGATGCAACGTTAATTGAGGTTGTCAAGAAAAAAAAGATTCTTTACCATTTTTTTATGAACCATCTTTAGAATCCCTCAAATGTTTATCAATAAACTTTCAGTTATAATTTATTGATGACTTGGTTGAATTGTCATAAAATTTGGTTTATGACAACAGAATGTCTTTCAGGGTGAGGGGGTTGAATAATATATATATATGATCAGTACTGTGCAAAAGTCTTAGGCCATTAGTATTTAGATCTGGGCCCGTATTCTTAAAGAATCTAAGAATCCTCTCAGAGAGCTCCTAATTTAGCTTAAAAATGTCTAACTAGGAGTCTTAGCTTAAAAGTGATTTAGGACCAATCTGAGAACAACTCTGAGCGAGGAAAAGACAAAAACTTTTATCTTAGTGAGGAGGTGGGGCTGACCCTGTTGCTCTATGACCACTGTTGCCAACTGTCACAAGATAAATAAGAAACCGCTGCTTCAAAAACAAGCCCAATATTTTTTTGATGATTTATTATCATCAATATTATTTATTACAAATTAATGCGCCTGCAACATATTAAACTGAAACCACACTTTAATCTGAAAAGCAAAAACAAGTTATTTTACAAAAATCAGCAATCTGCAACAAAGTGGGAACAAAACTAATCTCCAATCACATGTGAGCAGAATAGGATTGGAGAGATGGAAAAGGAGAAAAACACAAGAGCTTCAAAGGGGAACTGTAGCATAGCCACATATTTATTATAGCCTACTAAAATATAGGCTATTCGAACCAAATGTATATACTCTTAGTATTACAGTTTTTCTGATTTGTTAAAAAACATTTCTTGAAACCATCACTCATTTTCTCAAAATCTTAAACAAATCCAAATACTAAAATCATGAAACCTCTGACTCTTCCATCAAAATCAAACAATCACTACAAAACCATTTCACTTGCACTCAAAATCAAATGGTGCTCTCAGATCACACACACGAGTCAATAAAATAAACACTACAGAGCATTCATTAGACACTACAGAGAAAAATGGAAAACACAGCATCCAGAACATTACAGAAAAAGTATATTGTATTGAGTAAACAATTTTGCAATTCTGTAAGAAAGTATAATAATTGCAACTGAGTAAAATGAATATATTGTATTGGCCTACTGCAAGAATAGTGCTGAATATTGAATAGTACTAGAATGTTTGTATATATTCAGCCCTTGGATACTGCAAGCTTTTGAGCTGTTTTGGCTGTTGACGAAAAACACCTACACTTACAACAACAGGACTAAAACATATCAACTTTAATGCACAATAAACATTGCATTAAAACAGTCCAAAAATAAATGTAAAAAATTGTATTTAGTCTTGATGTCAGTAAAATAAACTGTCATTTGTAATTTCAGTATACAAAGGGCTTTACCTAGTTTACAATAAACACTGCATTAAAACAACAACAGTTATTTAGTCTTGATGTGGATAAAAATGTTATTCATCATCTCAGTATACATACATTGTATTAATATATATCTGGAAAACAAATGACAAATATAACATCTCTGTAAGAAATCATCTGAAACAAAATGCTGCTGTTTTGCTTAGTTAATCATGAATGCCCCGAAGTAAGTGGCTTCCTGTGGGAAACGCACAGCGCTTATATTCTGCACGTACAAGGAGAGCCTGTCGCCCTTTTCTAAGCGGAACAGCGCCCCCTGATGGCTGGAATAAAGCTGTACACTAGAGCTTACGCTCACGCAGGGAGTCACTACAGATTTTGCGAGCATCACTGGTCGTGGATAGGATGCTGTCGTCTTGTATAAGTACTGCGTAAAGTGCATAATCTGTCCTAACTGTGTTTCGAAATTAACCTGAGAGAAAACGAAGTAAATTCCGTCGTGTGGCACCGCTATTTCTCCATCGGGACTCAGGCGCATTAACCCTTCCTGACTGAATTGGCCGTTCATGTTGTCCCACTGTATACGATCCAGTGCAGGAACTCCGTCTGCAGAAAGTAAAAAAAAGAAAAGAAAGACGAACGCTGTTATCATTAGTCTATTCAACTTAACCACTTTATCTTGAACAATGTAAGCTGTGGGGAAGATCTTACCATTTTTCTGCAGTCTTTGATATTGTTTAAGCTCTTGTTTTGCCCCGACATGCACAGCTGGTTTGAAAATCTCAGTGACGTTATGTTCTGTAAAGTCCAAGAACACACTTTCAATTAAATGCAACGCTGGAATCAGTGCGCGAACTGTGGCGGTGCGGGGTCTGACTTCACAAATTAGCTATAGGTTATTATTTTTACATACGCAGGCATAAAGTTTAAAAATCGTTTTCAAGTTTAACATTTTACCTCCGCAAGAGTTAGATTACAAGTCAGTTGCGTTCACGGGCATAGCAGCAGTAGGCTATGTACCACTAAATAAACAAACAAACAAACAAACTAACAGGCTAAACATCCTCATCTTTCACCTGAAGGAGAAGAGAGATTTTCTAGAGAAAATCAATGACATGATAGTATATGTTCACCTCTCTTTTTCCATATTCGTTGTACTGGATTTTAAGAGTATGTGTACCACATTTAACCATGTAAACAGAAAAAAATTGAATGGTTTTATTATTTTGTATTTTATCACTTTTTTCTGTTTACTATGCTAAATATTATAAGAGACAAGAATATGAATAATATATAATTAATTGTTTTTTGTTGATAAACTAAGCATAGTTTTACAGGATCAGTATCATTTAAGAAATATGTGTGTAATCATAACTTTCTTTAATAAATTACATACAATTCTCTTACACTGCTGCTTTTGAGCTGTTTTGGCTGTTGACGAAAAACACCTACACTTACAACAACAGGACTAAAACATATCAACTTTAATGCACAATAAACATTGCATTAAAACAGTCCAAAAATAAATGTAAAAAATTGTATTTAGTCTTGATGTCAGTAAAATAAACTGTCATTTGTAATTTCAGTATACAAAGGGCTTTACCTAGTTTACAATAAACACTGCATTAAAACAACAACAGTTATTTAGTCTTGATGTGGATAAAAATGTTATTCATCATCTCAGTATACATACATTGTATTAATATATATCTGGAAAACAAATGACAAATATAACATCTCTGTAAGAAATCATCTGAAACAAAATGCTGCTGTTTTGCTTAGTTAATCATGAATGCCCCGAAGTAAGTGGCTTCCTGTGGGAAACGCACAGCGCTTATATTCTGCACGTACAAGGAGAGCCTGTCGCCCTTTTCTAAGCGGAACAGCGCCCCCTGATGGCTGGAATAAAGCTGTACACTAGAGCTTACGCTCACGCAGGGAGTCACTACAGATTTTGCGAGCATCACTGGTCGTGGATAGGATGCTGTCGTCTTGTATAAGTACTGCGTAAAGTGCATAATCTGTCCTAACTGTGTTTCGAAATTAACCTGAGAGAAAACGAAGTAAATTCCGTCGTGTGGCACCGCTATTTCTCCATCGGGACTCAGGCGCATTAACCCTTCCTGACTGAATTGGCCGTTCATGTTGTCCCACTGTATACGATCCAGTGCAGGAACTCCGTCTGCAGAAAGTAAAAAAAAGAAAAGAAAGACGAACGCTGTTATCATTAGTCTATTCAACTTAACCACTTTATCTTGAACAATGTAAGCTGTGGGGAAGATCTTACCATTTTTCTGCAGTCTTTGATATTGTTTAAGCTCTTGTTTTGCCCCGACATGCACAGCTGGTTTGAAAATCTCAGTGACGTTATGTTCTGTAAAGTCCAAGAACACACTTTCAATTAAATGCAACGCTGGAATCAGTGCGCGAACTGTGGCGGTGCGGGGTCTGACTTCACAAATTAGCTATAGGTTATTATTTTTACATACGCAGGCATAAAGTTTAAAAATCGTTTTCAAGTTTAACATTTTACCTCCGCAAGAGTTAGATTACAAGTCAGTTGCGTTCACGGGCATAGCAGCAGTAGGCTATGTACCACTAAATAAACAAACAAACAAACAAACATGTATTTCTTTTACCTCCTAATGTTTCCAGTACATAATTCTGTATGTCCATCAACAGTCTCTGTTCAAAAAGGAATCTAGTTTTATTATGGAACATCTTATATTTCTCACTATCCCAAAATGTATTCAGGTCTTGAAGCAGTTTTAAATACCTGCTGTGCGGTTTGTTTCAGTTCTTGATTGAACAAGCCACAGCTTGCGATACCTGCTTGATTTGTCGGTTGGGTAAGATCTGTGGAGAGACAGTGGATTGGATACCCTCCATCTTTGCCTGTTTCACGAGCCTTTTAAAGTAAAAAACGAATTATAGAATCATATTCTTTGTATAAATAACAATATTTGTTTAAAGATGCTAATAATTTAAGATTATACGATTTAACTCACTCTGTGAATATCCTCGGAGAAGTCATAAAGAAGAAAAGCCGTGATAAACGTCTCCGTGCTTAATATTAAAGTCAGAATCAAGAAGAATATATACTGCCCTTTTGCAGTTTTGTTTTCAGATATGTTTTCGTCCAGCTGGCTATAATTGGGGCTGATTTGTAAGTTTGATGTCATGTTCCGACAGTGTTTTACAGAATGTTCGCATGACAGAGAGAGAAAGCAGTTTTTTCCTGTCGTATCCTGAAGGAGTCAAAGGTCTGTGCGCTGTTCAGGGCTCTTCCGCATGTCAGTTTTGTTTTCCTCGCTGGAAAGTCCCGCGGTTACGGCACCGCCCCGCTTTCTATCAAGTGTGATTGCATGTGGGAATTCAGGGGCGTATGAGTGATCTGAAAACTGGGGGGTGTTTGCAGCGCCACTGTTGTTAATGCTGCTTTTTCATTGTTTTGTACCATGCACTGTTAAAGGTAAGATTTTTAAAATGAAAATATCCAAAAACCACTAGAACAGTTTTATATATTTCGCTGACTTGTGTACTTACATTATCCCAAATGTTTCGAAGAACGTTTAAATCCAGAGAAATAAGCATTTTTAACTAGTGACACGCACAGTGTCTATTGTGTCGCCTGCCAATGACGCCATACACCCTCGATTTCCGGTTTTGTTTTGTAGAAAACATGGAAACACCGGTGACGACCGCACAGAGTAGCATTATAACAGAACGTTCAAATCAGAATGAGAATGAATCATATTCAAATGTATCTAGTATGATAAAACAGTGCTGCTTTCCGGAAGGAGCAGAAACGGTCGACTGTGGCATAATAAAAGCTCCGCTGCTTTCGAGCCGTGTTAGAAAACTTTAATCTAGAAAGCGCTTCTGGATTAAGACAGCGATTTCTAAAATTCATACTTTGGGCTCATCTGTTTTTCCACACATATTATGCTTTATTAGTAAGATGTGTGTACAGAATGTGGTCTTTAAATATCGCTGTCTGGTTGCATTAACTTAATGCAATATACTATGTGCAGATATGCATATAAGCTCAAAATGTGAACGCAACGCGCTTATTTAAGCATTTTCCTCTCATATAAAGAACGCGCTTGATTAAGCGCGTTCTTTATATGAGAGGAAAATGCTTAAATAAGCGCGTTGCGTTCACATTTTGATCTTATATGCATATCTGCACGTAGTATATGCTTTACAATTTTAGATTTTTTAAATTTAGAAAGTCCAAGTTCTGCTAATTCACAAGCCTAGTGAGAGTCATGCTCGCAAAGAAGGTAATGTTAACTATTAAACCAACCAAATCAAAACTTTCAAAAACACACAGCAATGTGATTCTTTTATTGAGTGAGAGTCAGTGGGTTTAATCAGTGACATTAACAGATTTACTATTCGGTGTATTCTCCGCGACCTCCTTCCCTTGTTGTTTTTACACATAGAAAAGGCGAAAAAACATATAGCATTGTCCATTTTTCTCTCAGAACGATGATCTGAGTTACTATTGCAATTATCGATGCAGTATGAATGACATACACCGGTGACATTTTTCACAATCATGACAAACAATCAAATACTGCCCTAAACTCAATAGCGGAAGGGCAGCGCTATCCTGCAAGTATGGCAGATAAACAAGCAGTTTCCCAGAACTCAAGGCGGCGTTAAGTCACATTCTCATTCCTAATTGACTGTTCAAATGCGGAGTTTTGTGTGTGTGTGTGTGTGTGCGCGCGCTAGTGTGTGTGAGTGAGACAGAGTCAACTGTCTTAACCGTGGCTTGTGTACTGCAAACACATACCAGCTTCATCACTGTGTCTGTCACGTGACTCTGTTCCCCTTTCGGGCTTGAACTGATGGTAAAACTAATGACATTATTTACTGTCTTTGCATTTATTTTGAAAGCTGAAGCTCGCGATTATGGT